AAAAAAAAAAAAAAAAAAAAAAAAAAAAAAAAAAATCAATGCATTTAATACTATTATATTAAGACCAAATTCAGAATTAACCAATGTCAAAACCAGAACAGAAAATTAATTTTTAAGAGCTACAATGTGATAGAGCAACATATCTTATATACACCTTGCTGTTTTAATTTTGCATCTCTTTTTATAATCCAATTAATATTTCTATCTGATTTTCAATTTCTTGTTTCTCTATTCTTAACAATATTTAGAATTTGTGTAGAATTGTATTTTATGTCAGAAAATAAGCAGTTTTCCTAAACCATTAAAATAGTCTTTTAGGTGCACTGCATAATTTGGGGAATGGGAAACCTCTGTAAATGGGGAGGAAAAAAATAGATTCTCATTTAAACCTTTTGTCTGCTTCCTTTTCAGGTCTTTTCCTCTCTGTAGCCTCATTGCCACTGAGTTACTGGCTTCAGCAACTTCCAGAGAGATACAGAAAAATGACTGAACATCTATATATAGATATAATATATATCTATATAGATATAGAAATATATAATATAATATATAAAACTTCCCGACTTATCCTAATTAAAAAATAGGAATAGCATTTAAGCCAGCTTTTCTCTAGTAGAGAACAAGATTAGCCTTTAAATGGGAGGAAGATCCCATTCTGCCTACCACTGAGTTAAAGCAGGAGTCAACAACCCACAGGCTAAGCCACTGGAGCTGGCTTGGCCCAGAACCGAGAGATTTGGGGAGCGTTTGGCAGTGAGGGACCTCCGCAGTTTGAGAGCAGATACCTGTACCATTGCTAGGAAAAGTGCCAGTAGCTGGGTCTTTGTGCTGGCTGTCTCAGACCCAAGCAGGATCATTTCAGCCTGCTGGCTGAAGCTGTTGCTGACTGCTGAATTAAAGCCTCTAGCACTGGCCATGGTGCTGGACTACATGGACCTTGGGTTTCATCCAGTATTTCAATTCCAACATTTTCTCAAAAAGATGTCTTCAGACCCAGAACATTTATACTCTCCCTTACAACAGCTTGTAATGGATAATGAATATTCTGGCCTGCTTATACAGTGCAGTCTTTATTTCTATTTTGCACTACACAGTGTATCTTTGGGTACACTAGAGGAATGAAGATGAACTATAAAGGCAGAAGATGGCAAACAGAAGCATTGATAGAACTAGAGTAGAAATGCAAGAAATCTATATTACAGATAGATTAAGACAGTTGATTCTTCCTTGGGAAGATTTCTCTTACTCAAATAGTCTGCAGAACTATTAAGATTTCGAAATGGTATCAGCATCTCTCCCCTTAGTGTTTAAACTGACTTTGTATGAAGGTCAGAAAGGACTTTTACTTCAATATGTAATTCTGTACAGCCATCTATGCAATAGATGTAGGACAGCAGGTATTGCCACTACCTGATATATTGGATACTACTCACTGTCACATGGGCAGGATATCGTAATAGGTGATTTAATTATCTTTGTTGTGGTGTGGTAAATATAATAGTCTCTGAACATCCAAATTCAGAGTTGCTCAACTCTGGGCTAAATTAGGGATAGCCCAAGTTTACACTACTTGCAAAACATTTCTTAGATATTGTAAGAGAGAATTAGATGCTTCGGAGCTCTGCTTCATATTCCATCCTCTAATGCTAAGGGTTGGAAGAGCATTAAGTATTAGTGGCAATGGTGCCAACCTCCCCTAGTTTAAACCTGTGGAGAGTTCCACCAAACAAGGGTGTTCTCCATGAACCATCATGGACCCTTTAAGTTTACACAGAAAAAAATGTCCTTAGCAAACCAAAGAATCTAACTATATGCTTTTATGTTAACTAATCAGATACTCTGTTTTTCTGGTTAGCTACTATTACTGTTTTACAGATATTAAAAAAAAAAGCCTCATCTAATATACTCATAAGTAACATCAGAGCTATCCAACTTCTGAAGGGCTAAGGGCTGCATGCAATGTGGGCCATGGGCCCCTTGTGCAAGCAGGCCACCCTAGACCCTCCTGCCAAATGGGCTGCAGGTTCTCTGCCCCCAGGGACAGAAGCAGGAAGCAGATGCTGAAGGAGGGAACAGGAGCCTGAAGATCCCAGTCGCAACAGTGGGAATGATGCAGGGGGTGTGGTTTGTACCTGGATTGGAACCCATGCATCATGAGTTCACGGTCTGTGGGCTGCATGCAGCCTGCGAGTCACCAGTTGGACATTGCTGAGTAAAATAAAGACATCCAGATAAATAGGGGTATAAGTTGTAGCTGTGCTGGTTTAAGGACATAGGCAGACAAGATTCTTTGCGTAAATAGATCACTTTATTTAATAGGCCTAAGAAGTTACCTTGCATCACATTTTTAGATCTCCATTAGAATATACTGTCCATAATATTTTACAGGCACCAACAAGAAACTAGACATTCATACATAAAAGAGAACAACATGGGTAAGTTACACAAAGCATGCTCAATCCTTCTGAAGAAGACTCTAGGGGTATGGACAGGCACTCATTAGAAGTGCTAAGAAATTCCAGGAAATTTGTAGTGCTATGAAAACGTGGCACGAAATGTGTATATAGCCATTCAAGTCTGTGGTCTTGAAGCTTTTGCCAGAGCATGGCAAGGGCCTGTATTGGCATTGCTTCATCACACGGTAGGGGGCTGTATGCCGTGACTCTCTGAGCTGCAGAAATATTTGTCCAGTGTTTTACCTCAGCTCCACCTTCAGAGCCCTGAAGGCCTGACCCTGTTGTGTGCCCAGAACTCTGGAGGGTTTGTTCCTGCCCCTTGGAAGTCACCCAAATATAGCAATGAAAGTTTCATGCCTATCAGAGGGGGGCAAAATACTTGAACATAGAAAAGATGTGGGCCACTACCTGAAACACACCCCCTTGGGGTGGGGGACTCTAATCAAGCAACCCAGCCTGGGTTAGCTACCTGGGCTGCTGGCAGCACTGCCTATCTGTTTAGCCTCTGCTGTGGAAGTAAGTAGACTTCTAGGCCAGCCAACAGTTTTGACCCTGGCCTGCTTTGGGGCTTTTGGTCCCTGCACTCCCTGTATTTGGCTCTGTTCTTATATTTCGGCTTCGGGTTTCCCCATAGAACTATTTCTTGGTTTCCTGACCTTGCTTAGCTCTGTTCTCAGATTTCAACCTGTGGATTATCCTTGGCATCTGATTCCTGCACCCTGACCTTGGCCTGTGTTGTGTACTCAGTCCCTAGATTTCCCTCCAGATCTGGTAATTTGGCTCCTGAACTCTGAGTTAGCACCTGTCTTCCCTCAGATGCCAAACCATTAGTCAAGACTACCTAAAACCTGGTACTACCTGGTACTTAAGACTAGGAGTGCAGAGCCACAGCAGACCAGTTCAGTTTCCACTGCCAAAGACTCACAATTTCACTCCCAGCTTCAAATGGATTCCCGACAGCTACATGCTCTGCAGCTTCTGATCTAGCAGGGCCAACAGATCCCCTATGTGCCATTCTCCTGGCACACAGTCAAATCCCACTACCACTTTGCCAGAGAGCTCACTCAGCTCCTGTACAGGCTAGATATGACCATGCAGATATGACTGAGACTCCGGCCATGCAGTCCCTGACTCCCTAACTAGTTCAGAATAGGCAAGTTCACAGTGGGAGAGGCAGTGAGGGATGCATCCCTAGCTATCCAGTGAGTGCTGCCCCTACAATTCACCTGCTTTGTCAACCAGCATGAGTTTGGTGGCAAGGGGAGGGCTCTGACATGGTTCTACTTCAAGAGGGTTGTAGTAGAGACTCCCCTTTGCCCCAGCCAAGGCCTTTGTGAATTACAACAACCACTCACTGCACTAAACATACATGCACCTCCCATCTGCACTGCCCACGGCACCATCCCTCACAGGGCTCTGATGCTTTCTCTGCTTCAGAAGAGACAATGAAGAGTCTCCTGTTTGCCCTAGCCACAAGCTTTACGAATTACAGCACCCAGCCACTATGCAAAGCACACGTGCACCCCCTATTCTGACACTCCCTCCCCTTCAGGAAAAGCACTGAAGATTCTCCCCTCCACACCAGCACCAGCATTTACAAAAGCCGATTTTTCTGAAGTACATGATCAGAAGCTCGACCACCTATGAGGACCTGCTTGGTGTCCTTGTAGAAAATGTCAGAGATGTTGAAGCAACAGGAGCAGGAACTTTTTGCATGGCCAGAAAATTTGGGAGGTATATTCCTGCTGTGCTTTTTTGGGCAAGAAGGAGTTTACCCTACTCACAAAAATAGGGCTGAGCAGCAACCTGTAAGTCCAGTTCTGTCTCCCTGGGGCAGTAGAGTATGGGGTGCAAGAAAGACTCCCTGGAGGGGTAGGGTGGGCAGGGCAAGGAACAAAGCTTCCTGGGATGCTAGAGGACCAAGGCACACCTTGCTGTGCTACACATAACTGTACAGGTATTACACATAGTGCTGGAAATCACTGCATGGCTAAGAAGTCGCTACTGGCAAGAGCTAACATTTTGTTGTGCAATTACCATGTTTTTGCTGCCTGAATGGCTGCACACTCACTTTCTGCAGCACTAGAAGGGCATACATTTTTGGTGAGATATAATGCCTGTCCATGGCCTAGGTATCAAACAAAGTTTTCAATTTTTATTTCCAAAAAAATAAAATTTAAAGTCACTACATTTTAGACTGAACCCACCGTTACCTTTTTCCTCCTCTGAAAGCTCCTCTATGGGCTCCAGCATATGTATCAAGACTGTCTGCTCTATTAATGAGGAAAAATAGGAATAGCAGACAAACAGGACAGAAGAAAGTCAAGGTCCAGAGTAGAAAAGTTATGCCAAAGAACACATGCTGATGTCATCCTGGTATTTCTTCTCCCACCCACCGCTGCTGCTAACTTACTGCACAAATCCAAAAACCCAAATTCAGGGCAACTATTCATAGTAGCAAGCAGAAGTAGTAAGCAGAAGCACACTTGGTAGCAGAAGGCTGAAGACTACAATAATCACATAGGTTGCTTACAGACGTGAAAAAGACAAAACAAAACTGTGCTTTAATCGGAAGAGATAGCACATTAGTCTGACCCAGATCTGCAGTGTCTATATAGATCAGGTGCTTTAGCAGGGCTTTTTGGCGTTTCTATCTAAAGCTGATGATTCAAAGAGCTTAGACAAAAGCACCAAAAAGCCCCACTGAAATGCCTGATCTATACAGATGTTGGGTGAGCTGGGTCCAAAGAATGCAATGCCTCTTCTGGGCATGTGCTGCACTTGGTGGGGGTGTGATGAGTTTAAAGCGCCCTTTTTTATTTAGTCTTTTTTCAACATCTATAAGCAATATTAATTTCTTATTGGGCTCAGTTTTCATTTTCAAGGTAAAATTTTAGAAAATTTAAAATATTGCAAAAAAATTGAAGTGTATTTGCAGTTTGGGATTAAGAGTTTAAAAATTAAATGAAATGGTAGGCTACAGAAGATCTCAAAAACTTAAGGTAAACCCCATAAATAAGTGAAGGTATTAAACTGGAGAATTATCATTTTGGGATGTTGTGCACTTATTGTGAGATCATGCTTTATAAATAACTAAGATGACAGAAGTTAAAATCCAAGACCCAATAAAATTAATGAAAAAAAATCCTATTTCAGTGCAGTCAGGATTACATTGTCCCTGCTCCAAAAAATGTATGAAGTGCCCTCATCACCCCTGCTGAAAATGTAGCTTCTGCAAACCAATTAAATGATTTTTCCAAAGACTGACAAGTTTAATACACATTGTCCTGACTTCATTAGAGTTTTATATGACTGAGACTATGGTGGTTTCTTTTCTTTTCTTACTATATTTTTAAATTATTATATTTTTTTGATCAAGAAGGGGGATATGAAGACACTTAGCTAGATGTTTAAAAAATATCTACATTGCATAAACAACATTCTTATTTCAATAAAAAAATAAGAACCTCTCTACTACTTCTTCAGAAACTTCAGTAGGTTAGTTACTTTCTCTCTGCGCCCACCTCTAAAGGATTGCTCAACCCCTGACTTAATTATTAAGTCAAGTTACTAGACTTAAGATTTGTCTCTTAATTTGGCTCCCATATAATTTAAAATACATTAGAAGCTTTGAGAATGTTTTTTACAAGCTATATCATCAGAGAATGCTAACAGGGTTTGCCATATATCATTTATTACAAAGTAATTAAAAGCAAGACTCAGAGACTGACTGACCAGGAGACTGCTTTGCTGGCTGGAATCAGCAGGAATCTATCACTAAGCCAGTTGTTACGTAACTGCATTAAGTTTATCCCCAACCTGTTTACATGTTCCTTAAACACCATCTACTTAAGTGTATTTGGTCATCACACAAAAGTCCTTGTTAAGAAGTTTTCCGGTAACAGGAAAATCCCAACACCAAGAATCCAGGATTTAAAATCATCTGATAATGCATCATATTGTCACATGGTTCTCCCCCTTAAGTATAGTAGAAAAATTAGGAATTAAAAACAATATAATGATAATAGCAGTGGAAACCATACAAGTAACTGTGCCGTTCACAGAAACCTTGTGCATGCATAACTGACAGCTGATATCAAACCTGGCAAGGTAGTGGAATGAGCAGTGGGGTAAGACTGAACACCACTAATGTCTTTCTAATGGAGTTAGTCATCTCTTGGCCCTTAGCATAAAAAAAATTTCTTTCCCTGAAACAGAATCTAATATAAGAAAGCACCACTCAGTTTACAGCTCAAGCTTCTAACACAGGGCCATTCAAATGCAGGTCTGTGAGGGGTTCACATGAGGCCCTTGATCTCCCACCCAACCACCAGTGCCCCTGTATCTTCAGCTGCAGCAGCAGCCAGGGTTTTGGGGATCCCCACGGGTTTTGCTGCAGATCCATGCCCCAGCGGGAGGTGCAGTGCAGCACAGCATGGCGCAGGTCACAGTGCCAGCAGCCTGAAGTGCCTGTTCAGTGCAATACCACAGGGGAACCCGCAGGTAGCTGAAGGTGTGGGTGCTGCACCACACAGGGGAGTATCCACCCACCTGTGTGCGGTGCAGTGGGGTGGGAGAGTGTCTGCCTGCCTGCACTCATAATACAGCAAGGGTGGGCGGAGTGCCCACCCACACACGCATGCAACCTAGGAGGCCCATGCCCCCCGTGTGCAACCCCTGCTGATGCTTGCAGCATGTGCCACCTGGCCACTCTGAAGTGGGACAGCCCTGTTCTAACACACAGGGCCCCTCAGAAGCCTTTCCCCTCTGAGCATCTATGGGATGAAAATGGTTTCCTGGGGTGCCCAAGGTTTTCTCTAACTGCTTGATTGGGCCCCTTACCTCTCATCTCCAAGTTTACACACCCTGTTCAACTGTGTGAAATCTAAAGACAGTATTAACCTTCTGAGTGTTGTTTCTCTCCTTGTCTCTCAATATTTTGCTCAACAATTACAAGCGTTTGTCAGAGAAGTAGCTGAGTTAGTTCTTTACCATCCTTGTCTCCACACACTAATCACAAAAATAGTCTGCTAGTGTAAGTACTTGTTGGATCACCTGAAGTTAGGCAAGTACAATTTGAAGCAGAATGAAGCACTATCACTACCCAAAAGCAGTTACCTTTCACGTTACAGCCTGTCAGCGTATCCACATGCTTGTACATGCACTGAAAGAGTAATTCCAGAGCTGCTTATAGTATGCCTATAAGGAGTTCACAACAGTATTCCTAAAAACACTGTCTTTACTAACACCCGCATAGACAATCTTGTATACCTGCTCTCTTCCATTGCATACCTGCTCTCCTCCTTATATTACCTGAGTTGCAAGTGGCACATTAGGTGATCTGTTAGGAATCTATTCCATCAAGTTTTGAAACTTAAATTGAACACCTTCTAGTACCTCAATTTACAGAACTTCAGAAGAGCTTGTTTTCTCTTTGTGAATACCCATACACATAGGCATGCACGTACAGACATAGAAAGACCAAAAGGCAAGAGAAATAATATCCCTTGACGGAAACAGTTATTTTCTAACTTATAAAATGCATACATCACCAGCTTTAAAGACACAAACAAGTGAAATGTAAGTAGCAGATTAAAGGTGAACTAAAAAAACCTCCAAATAAAAATAAAACTCCTCTCTCCTCCCTCTCCATTCACTAAGACAAAAGAATGAGTAACATTTGTGAAGTATGGTCTTGAAGCCTCTGTAGGACTCATGGATAAAGGAATCTGTAGAGTCAAGAACCCTCCCCACTACTGAAAACATCCTCTCCGGCATTCTTCCCAGCATTTTAAATGTGTAGCCTACCAGTAAGAGTATTCCAAAACATTTTCATTGCTCAAGATAAAACAAGAAAAAGGTGATGTCATAGAAACAAGAATTCTGAGCTTTGCATATCACCTTGATTTGCACCAGAATACAAAACTAGGTTTTTGTAGTTACTTCTAGTTCCTCCATCGCTGTGGAGCAACATAGGACTTTCACAGCCACCTGGAAGCCACGTACTGGCCATGCCAAGCAACTTCCTGACTGACAAATAAATCCACCCTTAGATTATAACTGTTTCTTCACATCCTCCCAAATGCCTTCTTCCAGGCTTAATTTGGAGGGGAATGTGCGGGGCAGGGTGTACCAGGTATGTAGATTACCTAAATCTCTTCACTGGACAATTATATTAGTTAAAGAAAATAAGGGATACACATTTTCCCTATCATGCTTCATAAAATAACTAATCTCCAGCAATATATGCAAAAAAAATCATATGCAAATGGATATGAATTTTTTGTTTAACAGGCTTCAAATCAACACAATGTAAAATATAAGACATTTATGTTCTGAGGCCATCAGTCAGTACTTAGTCTGGTTCATGGCACTGCAAAGGTTGGGAGTGACAGATGATTAGGAATCATAGCCTCCCAGTCATTGGCTCTGCTCCACAAAGCTGGGAATGTAGTTCCATTTAAGATAATAAGAAAAGTTACATTTGCAGTTTAAACTACCAGTATCAAACAACTTCAGTTGATCTGCATTTACACCACCTTGTGCCATGGCAGCATCAGATCTTATAACATAACTAGGCAGAATCTGATCAAAGAAAAGGAGATCCTTCAAGGAGAAAAACCAAAATGATTAAGGAAGAGATGCTGATAATTCAATATATGCTGAATTCAAGTCCGCAAATAGCCCAAATGATAACACAGTGTTAATGGGCCCTGTGCCATTAGAGAAATTCTTTTGCTGAAATGTAAACCAGAGGTCCCATGCACTTACGAGTGTTAGGCCCCTGGCAGACATTACACTTATGACACAATTAACCAGTCAATCACACCTTAAGTAGTAACCCATCCACATGTTAATCTAATTAATGATGCAATAAAATAAGGAATAAGCCACAAAGTTATTATATATATTTCTGTAATAACTTTTTGACTGGTTCCCAATGCAAGTTAAATTGCACATGCGGGCAGGCATCAGCTGATTGGGTCTCCCAGGCTCAGGAACACATCAAAGCCCTTGATTCCAATGTGTTTCTGAGGCTGAGAGCACAGAACAGCTGACTGCCACTCCTAGCTTCAGGGACACACTGCAGTCAAAAACTCCACTGTGCCCTGGAGGCTGGGAGCAGCAGTCAGCTGATCAGAGCTTCTAGCCTTGGAGATGTACCAGAGCCCTTAACTCCAACATGGTCCCAAGGATGGGAGCACAGATCAGCTGATTGGCTTCCTACTTGCTGTTGACTATGATGCAGGGCTACCCCTGCACTGACGGTATGATTGGGATTTGATCCATGATCCTACAATTGTGCCTCCTGCCATACACATGTAGCCTTGCAGGAAGTGCAACTGTTGGGATTGCACATCAGATCCAATAGGGCCTTTCATTGAACATCTACTAGGGGCCTTAAAACACAATAATAAAGTACTTTCAGTGTGAGTAGGAGTATCATTTTACTATTAGTTTGTTATCTATATTGGAGTGGTGCCTAACACCTTTAGGAATGAATCTGGTCTCCATTATGCTACACTGAATACAACACAATGCTAAGAAAGCAGCTGTTCTAGACAGCTTTTGATTTTACCCAAAATAAAGATCAAGCGGCAGTGTAAAATCTAAAATCTACTGCTGTAAACTGAAATACAATCCCAGGATATATTCAAAAGCCAACCCTATAATGTTTTCTACTATCTATCGATACTCTGGAATCTGTAAGAAAGGAAATATGTCAATGTCACATCTTATGTCAACGAGCAAAAGTTAATTAAGGAATCATAAACCACCTATTACATCAATTAGTTGTGTTCTGTCCTGATTCCGGATTATCATATCATTTTATCACTGTGCACAGAAAAGCTAAACACATTTGGTCTCAACTATTTCATGCATTCAAACCAGATTTGCGCTCAAAGAGGTATCAGCTGCTCTGTGATGCATGCACACTTTAAATAGATGTATATCAATTCACTGCCAAGAAATTAATGGAAAAATCATGCAATGCACTTACACAATATACATATATGCTTATAAGCTGGTCATTTTTAAATTAATGTTCTTGAATTGTGTCAAAGGCACATGTTTGAATAATGCCTAAATTCATGTAGATTTAAGCTAGGAGTTGGCAGTCAGTTCCAGGGCTAAGAAATTCTTAATGCTTTAGCCAGGAGACTGGAACATCTATACAGATGCCTCAAAGGCAAGCTCTTCAGCCAGTGCAGGCCAGCTTCAGCCTTGGCAAGCTCTCTAAGCCTTGAGTTCCCTCCCCATGACCTGTAGGAGGGCCAGATGATTGAGAGTCTACCTTCTCCCTTGCCTCTCTCCCTTTCCCCCTGTCTGGGGGAGTCCCAGGAGGATTTGAGCTCCAGCACCTCTGCCTTTTCTTCTAAGCATTTAGTCACCCTGGAGTTATGCAAGAGCAAAGGTGGAAGGGCTCAACCCATCCTGGTGTTCCCTGGGACAGATGGAGTCATGAAAAAATGCTCCCCATCCCTTGCATAGCTCTGGGAAGAGACAGGATCTGTGCATGCAGATCCTGGGGTCTCTGCAGGGATAAAGGACTCAAGAATGAGTGTGGGGACAAGGCAAGAACAGCCTTGCAAGAGGACTCCCGTATCTGGAACAAGTCAGTGGCCTTGCTCATGCCCTCTAGCGCTTGGACATGCTGCAGTACAGACAAGCCCTTTATACACCTACATTCCCAAGTCACTTTTGAAAATAAGACTTAGGACATGTCTCCATGGCAAAATGAAGTGCTACGTAAAGATATTGGACCTGCTTAGGTACCATAGACAGTACACCCAGGTTAGAAGAGTGCTTCACCCAGGGTAATTAGACCCGTGTCTTAGTGCCATGCTAATATAACTATACTACTTCCAACAGCTTAGCTAGCTCAGGTAGCTCTACACCACATTGCATTGTGCTGTGCAAACATACCTTGGGCTCCTAAGTCCCTCAAGCACTTCTGAAAATTTTGCCTAAGTTTATATTTTCCAAAAGTAATTCTATCCAAAATAAAAAGGAATAATCTGGATACTCCTGACATGGGAAACTATTTTGCAGAAAAGCTAAAAACCTTTTTATTTTACAGACATTCTAATACTGAAAGATGAGTGGTATTTTTCAAATGATAGACAAATCCTTAGGTTTTCAAAGTGTCAGATACACTCATACTCCACCTACTGGAGATCCAGCTAAAGCTCATGAAAATCTTTGGCAATTTAGGACAACTCTCCTGTTTCTGCTAGCTTGTATATCCACAAATTTGGAAAATTAAGGAGCAAAAATATCTACACGGAGGAGGAAAGAAAAGGGAGAGGCAAAACGAAACCTTAAGACATAAGTAAAATAACCATCAGCAAAATCATCCAAGCAAAATACCATTAATAAACTAATATTGGACTTTTGTATACTAATAAGCAAAAGCAATCTCTTTTTTTTTTCAGTCTCAGAAAACACCCCAGAATCCACAGCAGGAACACAAAGAATGAAGGAAATAAGCAGAAATAAGCAGACCTCACTAAGGCAGGGTAGTGAAAATGATTACCAATAACAAAACTGTTTCTGCCGCACCCGGACAAAAAGATGAACACGCAATGTTTTACAAATGTGGAGAATGAACACCCTAGAGCTGTAACTGAAGAAGCACACCTGCTTCATGAGCTCTAGATCCCTGAACTATGAATTCATAGCTAAACTACTTTCGAGGGTAGGTTTCTTTATTACGAGCCACATCACCATTTTGGTCCATTAGAACGTGTTCGAATGAAAAGAGCAGCTTTTTAAGTAAATTTTCATGACCTGAAAACCAAATAATGGATAGGTTTTCCCCGCTTCCTGCTTTTTGTGACTTACTCTTAAAATGATGGCACATTATCAAAATAAAGAACTTTTTTTCGTGGGCTTCAGCAGGATGAAACAGAATCATACTTAGAGGCCTAATAGGGAAAATACTTTCCAGCCTTTAGTAATGAACAAGAAAAAAAGAATAAGGGGTCTTTGCAGTATTATCCCGAACATGGGATAATTAAAGACAATGACAACATATTTTTGCTAATATCTAATAGTATCACAAAGCTATGGCTTAAGAACCCTAACTACTGATTTACAGTACATACAGAACCATCCAGATTGGATGACTATATAATGTTTAGATAATTTTGTTGCTTTTCCCTAACAATGATTGAAACTACAAGATTCACAGTGAACTATTCACTTGCTCTGTTTATGTATATACCAGTTTGTTCAACATTTGTCAACTAGAAACTCACAATTTTGCTTACTCTCCACTGTTAGTTATCAAGTTTAGCTGAAAAATGAATTACAAAACATAATACACTAGGTAGGTAATAAACCATCCATCTGGTAGGAATCACTGTTAAAACATTGTTATACTCACCTTTGCACTGTTGTTTTACATATACACGTCATGCGAGGATTATAGCAAAATTAATCATGTTGAATTCTGTTTAATTTACTATTACAGAACTAATCCCATAGATTATGAATTTGTGAAGACTGAGTGTTAGATCTGTGGGCACTGGAACTGAATCTATTATAGAAACTTACCATGCATACCTGGTAGACTCGATTTAGGTTCTACTACTTGATGTGCCAGACTGTTCACTAAAACAGCAAAAAAAAGAAAAAAGAAAAAGATACCAACAAATGTTTTATGGTAACAACAGCAACTTTATCTTGTTACAGTCATTAGCACAGGAAATATGTTCTTCAAACACATTTATAAAATACAAAATCTGTTTCTTTAATGAACAAACTAAATTGTATACAAGAGTTGCCCAAGTAGCGAAAGCTGCATTATACAATGGGGACAGTATTGTATCTAATGGCTGATATCAGTGGATGGACATAAAAATCTTGGTGCAATAAGGAGATATATAATATCTATATATTAGTGGTGTTTCATTTTAATCATGGAAAAATGTAGATGGGGGGGGGTTAATCCAAAAATTGAGGATTTTTTTTTAAATCAGAGAAAAGCAGGATCCCAGTTGATCAGGAGGGACTTGGAAAGGAAGACTTTCTTTGCTGGATGAGGAGGAAAGCCTGTCAGGATTCAAGTACAACCCCAAAAATGGGAGCGGTGCACATTCTGCCCCAAGGAAAGAAGGAATTGGAGCACAGGAACCAGGCCAGAAACTGACCTGGGGAAAAGTCTCACCAAAGAGACCCAGAGGCTGGAACAGGATTGGCAAAGTTTCCAAATAAGAAAGGGAGCTATGCACCATAGCAAAAGCCATAGCCTCAAGCCCTGGAAAAGAATAAATTGAAAAGGCAAAGGAAGAAGGGAGCCTGGAAGTACCAAATAAACCCTTTATATTGTGAGGATTTAATAGATCAGCTCCTGAGATCCTTGCTACATGAGATGTCTAGAGAAAGAAGTAGGAGCCGCAGGCAATGTGTCTGCAGTGCCAAAGAGGGGAGGTGTAGTCTGCAACACTTTCCTGTTCTACAAGTGTTGTGAGATTTAACTGTGTGTATATGTCCTTAAGTTCTTCAATGCAAGGCGATGTAAGTGTAAAGCATTATTACAATGGTTAATACTTGGATAAGTTATTCCATTTTGTCTGCTTTCTCAGTATCTGTCCTTCACTGTACTCGAAAAGCAAATGTTCAGAAGAAATTTATGCTGCCTTTAGGCACCCAACAATAAAATAAAAACATATTTAGTTCATTTTTTTAAATCCAAGCCAGAAGTTCTATTTTTTAACTTATAAAATTATTAGATACCAAAGCTTTCATATTTCTTTACTATTCAAGCTAAATATGCTGTGTGTCCAGCAAGTGCTCATGGCTGCAAAACAAATCAGTTTGGACAATCAGCAGAAAACAGACAAGGAAGCAGTGCCACTATCATAATAGGAAGCACAGTTAAACTGCAAGTGCTCCTTGGTTTTCAAAGTTAAATTCTCTATGTCTCTATTTTTTTAAATGTACTGCCATGTTTGTACTGGGATAACTGTGTTAAATTTAATATTTAGTATTAGGATGTTAGATTTTGATTCTGAAACGGAATTAATGTATAGTCTTTTCCTGCACTTACCATCATATGGTTTGATGTTTGCTACTGATTTTGTGGATAATTCCCTTATCTAAAATAAAAGAAAAAATAAAGTGAGAGGAAGACACTTAAATAAGAATACTACAAATAACTAAGAATGTATATGCAGTAAGTCATACAATGGATAAAAGAGTGATCTTAAAATTGAGAAGCCTCAAACGATAAACATTATTGAACTATATTAAATCTAACACTTTATTGCAAAATGATAGCTTCTTCATAAATAAAGACATATTGTTTTCATTGTATCCTTGAATCTTTCAGTGAGCAAGCTGTAAATGCAAAATGCTTTTTATGCTTGTCTTCTGTGTGATCTCCTGCCTGACACATTAAACACAATATAGTCTATATACAGAGAAATAGTCAGTGATCTTATGAGCCCTGTTTCATTTCCTGTAGGTTGTACTTTCAACTTAGCAGAGGATCTTCAGTTTTGCAAGTCTAGCCCCAATCTGTTGGAGTATTTTGTGTTCCTGCTTAATTTCAGGTCTGTAAGCAATTCCACTGACTTTCTCTGCTCCTCCGCCTAATTCTCAACACAATTCTGCCTCACTCGGTACTTACCCTACAGACTGGGGATGACAAATATGTCAGCAGCTGGTGGCCAAACCAAACACCTCGTGGGTCACGGCCACACAACCGCATCCCATACTAAAGTAAGCTGTGGGCCCTCTGGGCTGCATCGGCACTGATGCTATCCTCCCCGTCTCCCCGCCCCAGCACCTTGTACCTGCACCCCCTGGCTCCTCCCCCAGCTGCTGCACTGTGCACCTGCACAGGCCCTCCCTCTGTTTATCACTGCACAGAGTGCCTGAATAATCCCAGGCTCACTCTCAGTTCCCCCAGCTCCAATTCAATAAATACAAAATATGTCATATTTAATGAATAAGTATCAGTGGACAGATTTAAATGCTCAGGTAAATAAAGGTTGTAAACAATAGAGCTGTAACAAGAGTTCTATGATAGATTCAACATATTTCACACTGCTAATTCATCCCTATAAAAGGACAATGCAAAAAATGCTTAAAGAAGCTTAAATATAGTGATTTTTCACTTTCGATGGCTTAATTCTGCAACCTGAAGTTTTTGCAATATAGTATTTGCAAGTGGCTTCTTTGGTTCCTAAAATAAGTAAAAATTAAAATTTATTTCTAGACAGTAGAACTAGCTTGTACTTTTATTGTTCAGCAAAGCAGGACTACAAGTAAAATTTTAAATATATTTATATTATGTCCATTTCTTTCTGAAATCAGACTATTTATTTCCCTCAGAAATATTTGTTATACTCATCATTACACTCCCATATAAATTCATTTTTATTTTGAATAATCTGTACATATAACAGTGCTTTTACTACATCCTTAATAAGCTTTTTAAATGAGGGGTCAGACTTAAATGTTGTTGTTCCTCAAAATTTTACTTGATCCTTTTAAGATATTGGTATCATACTCAATTCTCTTCACCCCTAATGTGGTTTCTAGATATTGTTTATAAATATAAATATTTATTGATAAATAAATGTATTGATAAATAAATATTGTATTTATTGATAAGTATTGATATTTATCAAGGGAAGCTGGGTGACAGCAACCATGAGTTGATCAGCTTCACCATCCACCGAAAAACTGTCAGGTCAGTCAGCAGTATAATGGTCCTCGACTTCAGGACAGCTGACTTTGACAAGCTCAGGAGAATTGTCGGTGAGGCCCTAAGGGACCACGGCCCCAAGGGGAGGGGAGTCCAGAAAGAGTGGTCGTACCTCAAGGGAGAAATCCTAGATGGGGTGCTCTTGGGTGATAGCATAGAGATAACCAGGAAGGATGCGAGTCCCCCGACTGTTAGTTCAGACCTAGTTAAGGACTACCTGGAGGGCTTAGATGTGTCCAAGTCAGCGGGCCTACATGACCTTCATCCGCGAGTGCTGAGGGAATTGGCTGGTGTCATTGCGGAGCCATTGGCATGGCTGTTTGAGGACTCCTGGTGCTCGGGCCAAGTCCCTGAGGACTGGAAAAGGGCCAATGTGGTCCCTATTTTCAAGAAGGGGAGGAAGGAAGAGCCTGGCAACTACAGGCCAGTCAGCCTCACTTCTATCCTGGGGAAGGTCTTTGAAAAAATTATCAAGGGCCACATTTGTGAGAGCCCTGCAGGGGAAGTGATGTTGAG